GCTGCAGTGCCCACTGCCCTCAGTTGCGTTCTGCCCACCCGTGCCCGCATTGGGGACAGAAACGAAACAGAGTTAGCAGCAAGGCGCCCTGCACGAGATAATATCTCGCCAAATCTGCTTCCTTCGTCTTTTTGAGCAACCGAGCTCCGAAAGCTACAGTCGGAGTCACTGCTGCTCGGAATGTACTCGGAACCCTGAAACTACTTACAGTTTACTATTAACATCTACATTGTAGGCACTGTACTTCACTTGACTAACTACTGCACGTATTTTATATGCCTTTGTAATACATGCCTCATCATCGCGCTGCTGAGCTTCGGCATCAACCTCTTCAGCTTCCTCTTCCACCTCAGCACCGGTCTCAGCTCCATGTTCCTCCGTGGAGCTTCCGCGAGCCGCCTCCTCCATCCTCTCCTAAATATCCGCATGTAGCGTGACGTAAGAAGTGATTTCAGTCAAAGTTGTTCATGAACCTCCTCCTCATGGTGCTCGGGCCACAGCTCGCTTCCAAGGTACCTCTTCAGGGCGCCATTTACAAACAACATGATGTCGCCTACTTTGATGACAACATCACTCTTAACGATTAATTCTTTACACAATGTCGGATCCCGAACCATACAGAAAGCCTACTCTAGTCAATCCGTTGATTGCATCGACAAGATGCGGCATTATGTCTGCCGTAATACGCGATATGCCGTCCTGGTGGAAGGATCTTCGTAGTAGGACAATCGTCTTCCACAGACGGCCATTTCAGCACAGAGAAACTGGGCCTGATTATGTAGGCATACTCTAGTGAGGTTCTCATGAGCACTTAATGCGAACTTACAGCTTGTACCACATGGGAGTGGCAGAGAAATTTGTTACTCTGGCTGATCATATTAACCACTTCATCCACGTGCATCTCGTCCACGACCCCATGCAAAGAAAGGGAACCCACCATAACAAGGTTCACTTTCTTCGCAGGGGACATGCTCTTCATGGTCTTCGCCATCGGCGATTTTACACAAGTTTTCTTCATATTTAAATGAGGCCTAAAACAAGTCAGACAGACGTATAGTTATTTTTCCTCTAAACATGCCTAGAACGCACTCCACAACAAGCTCGGCAACAGTCTCACTCTGTACTGTTGCCGAGCCTACCAAGTCATTGACACTAAATAAATGTGACAAAAAAAGGAAGGAAAAAAGTTGCTGAATAGCCACCCCTGCTGTTATTTCTCTACTCTGCTTTGAATCGATTTCCCGATCATCGGTGATCATCTATGACCACCGCTTCGACAGAACTATTGTCCACTTCTATTCTCCTGCTGCAAACCCTTATAGAACAAACCCGTTTATTGAGTGCAACCATAACACTATACAGACAAACAAATAATTCATATTCGAACCAAATCTAAAAAGAGAACACATATTTCCGAAAGTGAAAGAAAGTTAGCGACGCTTACAATTGATCCTATCAGATAACATGCATTAACAGGTAAGCAGATGTAGAAGCGTAATGATAAAATACAACATGCAAAACGTTATGACAACAAATTTGCTCATCTAAAAATAAAAAAGGTTTTAATACCTGAACTCTAGCTAATTTATTACCATATTTACGCTTGATGAACATATGACGATGTCGAGAACTAAAGCAAACATGTCCTTGGGTGAACTAACCAACTTTCTTGAACAGTTCTGTGAATACTCTTAAATGCGTTAACGACAAGTTGTGTTCAGCAATAACTCCTTCGGCTTATGAAAAAGTTGTTGACTGTCACACCACCGAAAGGCAACGAAATATCACAAAAAAATAGTCGAAATATTCTTCATGGTGGAACTCAGCAAGATGAGTAGCATCCAGTGTCTCATTTCGGAATACTCGATCAATTGTGAACATTTTCGTAGGTTTGAAACCTTGAAAAGAACATTGTCTGCTAAGGGTAAAGAAAATCTCCAGAGCAGGCGTCACATATGGAAACCTTCGCTTCCGTGTGTAACTGGCAAAATTATTCATCAAACTAGCCAAAAACAGCAAATCAAACAAATCAACTAACTTGCTGAGCGAAGTTTGTAGAGCTGTCGTGCTGAAACTGCGGTCGTATGTGTTCGCAACACATTTTTCTGCGCTCCTCAATCTTCCAGTCGTAGTTAGCCGCGTATACACACGGCCTCCGCGGTATCCGTGGCTTCCGCGATGTTACGTAAAAACACGAAGGGTAGCCGTGTAATTGCGTACAATAGGCAACTACCGTAATCCCACGCCTGCTTTTATTCGTCGGGGAGCACTACTATGGTACACCGTGATGGTGATGTGTCTTAACGGGGGTTCTTTCATAATCGCTTCAAGAAATCATTTTATACTTTTGCCTTTATACTACTGTAGGCACGGATCTACCCATCATTTGACATAAAAACCGCGAAGCTTTTTTGTTCGCACTCTACAGCTACGCATCAATCAAATGTCTCGCAGGTTGCCTGAGCTGACGTGAGGTATTCTAGTTGTCTTCATAGGTACAAATCAAGGCTACGGATGAAATATATGTATGCGTCCTCGTGGATCAATGGTTCTTAGATTTTGAGCATATGTATCTTTACGTTATCATGGAGAGCTTTACATTAGTCCAATAAATTCGTATTAAATTGAGGGAGGCACTCAAATTTCCTCAGTACTATCTGTTATTGTATCAGCGGTGTTATAGAACAGACTCATCGTCCACGGCGCTCCCTCAACCTGTGAGCTTGTACAGGTATTGATGTCTTCTGTGCTCTTCAGCTTGGGTGCTGTTGTTCCTCGAGTGAACTAACAAAGCGGGCTATAAGTCGTATCAGAGCGTCCTTCCCACGAATAGCGATCCTTTGTTTCAGTAATGAGAAGGATCACTAACACATGCACCCAGAAAGGGTGCTGTGTTTTCTCGTCGGGTTTCCCTTACTGCGCTAGCCCGCCGATCGGCACGCCGGCTAGAGTCGACGCTACATGCGCTGGAATCGGAACAAGCATATGTAGCCGTCGCATGCGTCAGCTGCGTTCATACTTTGCGGCAGCGTCCACCACCGTTTCGAGCGAGCACCAACGGCGAGGAAGGTGTAGATAACGAGCTACATTATTTGCGATCAGGGTTTCGTACTCCACCGGTCAACCAAGGTCTTCACCCAAAGTTCCATAGAAAACCGAAACCATTCTTGTGACTGCTCCCTGACTACCACCTACCTATGCCCCTGATGTATCCTTTGAAGAACAAAAGAGTTGCTAAGCAACGTCGTCCGAAAACCAGATCAACGATTTTTCTTCCGGTCGTAGTCATCACTGGAACAGCAGAAAACCGAAAAGGTCATTTGCACCATTCGCCGAGCAGTCGCTGCAGCAAAACCACCATGACCGTCTGCCGCTGTTCAGAAAGATCAGCTACCTAATCCCAGAAGGCCAATATCATACGGAATCATCCGCCACCACTATCGTTTCGATAGCCAGATTAGGTATGGAATTTCCCGTAAACTCCGTTTAGTTATCCAAAAAACTGTTCTTCACACCGAATCTTACAGAAAATTGTTCTGAGAATTTTTTGTGTCTTTCATAGCCGAATTTTTGAAAGTGCAAAATGTTAATTTTCGAACATTAAGATGACGAAAGAATGCCAACTGGCAACTTGACCAGGTGGTTCTTTTTTCAGTGTGTACTGTGTAGAGCAGAGATAGAAGTTAGAAGGGTGACGGCAGTAGCAAATATTCTTTCAGAGTTTTTGGGACTTCTATTAAGAACCACATCTTCCCTTCACGGTACCGGGGAATGTCAAAAATTGAAGTAACTTTTGCGAAATATCACCCTGAGCTGCGTGATTCCGCTAATATGCAGCACTCTCGCTCTCAATCTGCACAAGGAACTGTGCAAAAGCTATCAGGGCCGTATTTGGTCCCTGGGGAAGAGGTCATGGTTTCAAGAGGATGATGAAGTCTGTCTGGGGTAGTTGGCAACTTCACAATATGAGCATGTTGACGAGGAAGTCCCTTGCATCTAGCGCACCCCTGAATTTGTTCCGGGAACTCATTTTGAACGGCAGAAGCAAAAAAAATGTGAAACGGTAAGCAGCACAGATAAGGCACATCGTCGCTGGGATTCGCCCAACAAGGGTAGGGTCGCATTTAATCGCTGGATGGAGGCTGGTCGTATTGGGTGTGAGAAAAAACTTTGTTACTTGACCTTTCTTGTTTTAGGGGAGCTATGAAGGGGATGGGGTCGTATGTGCTCGGTTGAGAGAGGAGAGGGTCACATTTTCCTTTTGGTAGAGGTTGTTTACTATTTTTCCCCGTTTCATTTGTACTGCCCCCCCCCGCTCCGACAGCGAAATTTTTTGGAAAAAGGAAAATAAGGGACAACTCCTGGAAACCTGATAGGGAGGGGGGAAAATCTAAGAAAACGGTAGGTAGGACGAGAAATGGAGGGGTCGTATTTTCCTTGCGGTTTTTCTTGCTTCACATGTATAGTGTGGGCCCCCCCTCCCATATCCGCTCCTTGCTTTGTGTGCTTTTCATAAAACAATACTTGTGTTGTTACATAAACAACATAGAAAATAACATTTACGAGATCTAATGAGATCAGCAACAGAATGTACATGCACTCCAGATATCGGAGTGGGGAGGGCGTGGCCGCGTACTCCACTTGAACATGGCTTGGGATGCGCTTATCGTGGCGGATCATCATTTGCGACAACTCCATTCTCTCTGGTGCTGGACAAAGTTAAAATCAACTGCCCCAAAACAGCACCACCAAAAGCGCAACCGCCGCTACGTTCAAACGCACCCATCTCCAGTATATGGACTGTACAGTCAGCAACATGTCGCAGGTGTACTATTATGAGTGATATATTGAAAAAAATCTGACCTGCTAACCTGGACCCGTTCAAAACACAACAACACTACAGTTCTAAACATAAGTATTGAATATGACAAATCTACAAATACATTCATCGTCCATCGTCGTCCGACGCCTTTGGGATGCGAAATCCGTCTGGTTAATGTCTACAGTCCACCAGATTTTCGCAATAAGCAAAGGAATTTCAGCTTCTCTAGGTCATGGTCCTCATTTGTGGGATCGCAGAACGTAGAAAACAACTCGAAGGATATAGAACCTGGTTCCAGCCGAGCAAGTTGGAAGAACTAAAGTAAAAATTATCAAATTACTGTCTTACTTTTTCAAAATGAACTTGAATCGATAGGCAACTAGGGGAGGAGTACGGTAGGGGACACGTAGCGTTATCATGCGGGTGCTTGGCGACCGAAGTCCCCTCATGCAGATGACCAGGCCTTCCACTGTGCCGGGAGAGCCTACAGTATTTTTTTGGATGAAGGGGCGTGTCAGTGAGGCTGGTTGGAACGCCGCCAGCCCGTACCCTACCAGTTGTTAAAGCGGGTAAGCGACAATAACTAGACTGATGTCAACTATGTCTAGACTGATACAAACTATATGATCGTGCTGCCTGCCGGAAGAAAAGATGGAATGGCGTAGCGTCACCCCTAGGAATGCTCATCTGGAGCGATCAGCACTGTACTTGGCACTTGGTCTTATTGTGCATGATCTAAATCTTGTCTTGGATGAGTCACCTACTGAACATGGGCTGAAGTCACTGTGTAGGTCAAACCGCATTGTAGTGAGACTACGATACTCGAAACAAGGAGTGTGCGGCGCATCCCAAAAAGTACTATGACCGGACTACGATAGGCCTGTAATATACTTTCAGTGGTCTTTGAGCGGAAGAATAAACAATCCTTCTGGAACGTCTCCGGTAGAACGTCGCCTCGATTCCGAAATGTAATCATTTGGAATCCGGAAAGCCGACCGCTAGTCCTTTTAGCCTTCTCACCTTCATGATCAGCTCAAAGAAAAGCTGTACTCAATACTGGTACTGGTAAAAGACTGGGGATTAGTGATCGATCCCTTGTTAGCAATGCAGTTGCCATCCAAATGTGTAGTAAACACATACAGTGTGTACATCCTATCTATGAGTCAGTTTTTGGTATCCACAGTTCCGTCGCTTAAGAACCTGCACGAATGAAAAGTTTGGTCAGCCTGGGTAGGACTTGATCTGCGGACCCTACATATGGGAGCGGCGCCACGCATCACTACTAAAAACTTCTCGATACTAACCAACAAGTGTTTTAGGTAAGGCAGAAGCAGTTGTTTTGCTTCGCTCTCCGGTGCACTGGCAATCATTCGAACTATATGACACACAGAACTGATAGGCTGATAAAGTGAACCTGGAACAATAAGTTGAGCAGGTGAGAAGCACTGTTCTGCAAAGAAATCGGCACTATTAACCCTTCACTGCTCCAGTCATCCGGAATAAGAGCAGCTACCGGAATTTTCACCGAGAGCACTTTTATTTGAAAATCCGTCCTCAGAAGTTGTTTTACCTGCTGAACACGAACCTGAACTGCGTTTGTTTGGCCCTGTTCTTGCTTCCAGGGACAGCTATACCACCTGAACACAAATATCATATCCGTTTAGCCCAAAACGCTTGACGCCTGCACCATAGGCGCCGGCTGCAGAATACTCTAATCATTATACTCGCTTAAAACTTGTTTCCAGGAGCGGTTTGACTTCCTGGGCACGTGCATCACACCTGCATGGATGCCAAGAAAATTACGGATTGGGGAACTGGGGTACAAGAGATGGTCTGCTTGTCGAGATCTTTCACCGGTAGTGATCCCTTTCTCTGCTATGGCCAGGCTTCAGTGAAGGTAGGGATTACCACGTGCAACCGTGAAAGCTGCTGCCTTTTGTCGCCGTGCCCCCTAACTACTCTAGCTCACTCCTTGGCACAGATCCAACTGGATTCCATGCTACGTTCGGCGAAGACGAAACATACATGAGGTACCGTTCTGTCGCATACGTTAGACAGTTCCAGCAAAAATGGAGAGACAGTTTCAGCAAAAGTGGAGGTGATATTTGTGTTCGGCGGTCAAACCAATCCTGAAGACAAGGTTACGAATGTGGGGAGCGCATTTTGGCAGAGGCACCTGTGGCGTGGGTGCCCGGCGGGCCAAACGAATAAGATATTCGTGTCCAGGAAGTCAAGACTCTTAAGAACATATTTTTAGCCAAATCTGCCTCGAGAAAAAAGTCAGTAAAAAACGGTCTGGTTTCGCATGACTGGGGCAATAAAGGGTATACTGCCAAAAAATCAAGTGGTCAATCCTACCCTGACTAGATTCTTTCACAAATTTGTTGATTGCAACTTCCACTGTTTCTTGCAGAATCCTTATTGACGGATGGACTTGAAATTTAAATTATTTCCATGACAACGACAAGGAAAAATATAATTAAGAAAGTTCTACTTTGTGCTTCGCCTGACATTCTCGCTCTTTTTTGTTTTGGTTCGCTGATTCTCCAGTTATTCACTCTCTTGTACTCTCTATCTATAATCCACACGGACATCAACAATACCTGCAATATACTCTGTGAGGCAGTGGAAATGCACCGACTATTATTTTAAAAAGATATACCTGGGTGAGAAGTTTCACCAGCGGAACCACATAAGGCACTTCAAACTGCACTTGGCCTTTTTTATCCATCATAAAATCTACCATCAACTTAACGGGACAGATTTAATCACCATGTAGTTTCTTTTATTATACACCGATGGAACTTACCACACACGCAGTGATGAGCGTTTCTTGGGGTTCTAACAAAAGACACGCACAAATAGTTTCTATGGCACGGTTCATCACATCTGGACATCGCAATTTCATCATGTGATGCATATAAAACTGTAAAGATTTAACCTTAAATCGAATCAAACCGCTTTGCAAACAAAAGAGCAGAAGTGCTGGTTCTTGAAAACTTATTTTGACTGGCGGTGAGTGATAACTGTTCAACAACTAATAAATTTGAATATGCACGGAAGAAGGCAGTGTTCAGACTCAAAGCGCTGTACAGCGCAGCAACGCGCGGTGCTGCGCTGCAATTATAACTGCTCCAAGGCTGTACGCGAACGCCGCAGACGGCCGACGCCCATCGATCGAGCCTTCGCAGACGGGAACCAAACGGCGCCAGCCGTCTGCGGCGGCGTTCGCGCTTATGTCCTTGGAGCACAGTTGTAATTGCAGCGCAGCAGCGCGTTGCTGCGCTCTATAGCGCTGCCGAACGGGTCTAAGCGCCTACTAACCGCTTTACACCACCTTTCAAAAACAAGCTCAAAAATATCTCTAAAAATCACCTCAAACCACGATTTGTGTGCTCCTGCCCTGTTGCAGTGATCGATCAGATGTAAAACATTGGGACTTGCCCAGTTCTGCCTCTGAGCGTACAGCCACGCTTTCTTCAACATTTCCTTATCCGGTACCTGGAAACGCACACGGCATTCAAACTAAAAAAAATCCTCGGCGCAACGATAAAAATATCCTCTACCATACCTGCCTCCTGTGCAAAATTGGGAATGACCTTTTGGCAATAGCCATTAAGGTAATAGTCATAGGCGGAATAATAGAATCACATTCACACATCTCTTCCAACTGTCTTCGACATACCATTCGCGTGAACAACCACCTGAACGAAGGCTACAGCAAGCAATAAGGACAAATTTCAAATCGAACGACATTAATGAAGACCCACCTCGCGTTAATTTGATGTTCAAGTACATTCTGTGGACATAATCTCCCTAGCTGCGAGCATGGAGGATGTAGTACTTTCGCGGTTCCCCGCTTGCCATAAACCTTGGCTCGACCCACTGGCCACGGTGGCGTTCAACTTCCATTTTCTGCTATCTGATGGTGCGGTTGTCCCGCTACTGACTCCCTTCACTTTGAATGGTGAGAGCGAGAAGTAAGATCTCGGTGAACCACGCCTTCTGCACGTACAAGCGCGGATCAGCATAGGACTCTATATCGGGCATTTCGGGAGAATTTTCAGGTCACTTTTGTGCCATTTACTTCGGCCATTAGTATATGAGTCGCACAAATCACCATTTTTGAAGGTGGGCGTGCTCTTACCTCCCGCTGAATTACGAAAATTTCGGCTTCCAACTAGAGCCTATGGAGGTAAGCCGCGTATTAAGGCAGCATTCAAACTCTGCGATGGCCTGCGTGGACGCATTACGACGCACGTCGCGACGCAATGCTATACAGCACATGGCGCATAGGAAACACCGCTGGGCTGATCATGAACTCCACCTTGACCAGGATATGTGCAGTATACGCATTACTGCAATCAAGCATGGCTCTCGGAAAACCTTAAGGGACCTGCTGGACGATCACCACAATGATCCAACCCTAGTCAAACTATGTAGAAGAAGACGGTCTGCCACAGTGGGTGCAAATCGTCAGATACGTGCATTATGGAAGAGTTCTGGTTCCCTCTGATAATTCTACTAGCTGGGGGACCATCGAAGTAAAAGCATGAAAAATTTTCTCACAAGCCATAGCCAATCTAGCAGTGTAGGACCCATGCGCTTTTGAACCAGCAATTTTACGTCCTCCATACCTGTCTTTCTCTTCTTTTTCGTCCGGGACGCACTCCTCCAAAACCATTCTTATACACCGAGCCATTTGACGGCGTGCTTCAGAAGAAGGCTGTACGAAGATTTTCATTAAAATCAGATGGTAATAAAACTGCCACCCTAACGATGCAAGTGGGACCGGTCATGGAGCACAGAAGGTAACAAATAAGGACACTTCCCAGACACAAACGAACTCCTTCATAACGAAAGTCTCGGACGTATCATGCCTGACAATAAGCACACTATCATTTTCAGGCACAAACTTCAAATAAGGTCCTGCGAAACAAAGTCAGCTAATGTGCGCCCTTTTAGCTGACAAAAATAATCAGCACCGCATTCTGAATGCAATGCATGGCACAATGCCCTTACTAAGTCAGCTGAACAAAAAATCCCGACGAAGTAAAATGTTTATGATGGCGCTGGCTAGGCATGCCACTTTCCCGCACCGTAGTGTATCTTTTACTCTGTCCATCGGTACTGTTGTTTGTTCAATGCGAAGGATGGGGCGTGTCAGCGCTTCGCGCGGCCCAGGTCCGTTTTTTCTTTTTTACTCCTTCGGCGAGCAACAAGACAGTACCAGATCGATCGTATCAGTAGTTCTCCTAAAGTGGTTGTCATCTAGTGACTTCAAAAGGGGTAGAGAATGGGTCGGCATGGCAAAAGCAACGGACACGCCCCATCATCCGCAGCGAACCAGACTGTGGAGAATGTATTCAGTTCCCACCTGACATTCCAGCCATTGAATTATGCAAACAAGCAGACAATTGGCTTTACGAAACGCGGCAAAAATGCGCTGAAACAAAAGAGAAGATTTTTGATCGCAAATACTCATAAGAACAAAGTCTGACTAAAACATACGGAAACATCCTCTTCGATGTGTTTTCTGTCTTTGAAAAAATCCAAGATGACTTCTCCGACAATCGGCATTTCATGTAAAAGCTGCCCATAATTGCATCTGAACAAAAGATCACAGTGCGCCTCTAGGGCAACCTCTAACAAGGGGAGTTCAGTTCCATGGCTTGTTTCTTCGAGGTGCATTTTATGAAAAATGAGCAGAACCACTCCCTTCCATACTAGCAAACAGCTACGAAATAGTAAACTGAATCTGAATGGTAAAACTTACACGACAGGATCCCAGAACAGTTGACGCTCTTTCAGACGGAGAACTCTTTCTTTATAAGCTGCTTTCAGTTCAGGAGGAACTAGCGGTACGTCATTTTCAAAGGATTCCTGTCCATGGGAAGATATCCGCTTTACGTATCGCGATGACCATTGGTAGCTGCAATTGTTCTTATCTATCCGATCACGCGTGTTCCAAGTTCTTGCGAAATAAAGACGTAACTTACAAGGCACATGCAGTATTGTCCGGGCCACCTCTTGGATCTGTTACCAGTTCGTCCAGAGACTAAATGAGTGCGCAATATAAGCTATACATCAGTGGAAGGAAAAACAACGTACAAGATTACTGTATTTGTAAACTATTCTTGTCAGCATTGTGAATGTCAGATCGAATGTCACGTTCCGATCACCGCATACGTTTGAAGGAGATTCTGATAGAAGATTAAGGCTGAAAACAGGCAGCATTGGGATACATTCTAATTAAACAACGGGCGCAGCTAACTTTGACTTTTAGAAAGCATACCTCGCCAATTTGCTGCTCATTTCTCCCAATGTGCCTTCAAGTCCATAGGAAGAACAGAAAGCATCGAATGCATAACCACCACTTCCAATCAACCGAGTAAGAACGGTCATCAATTTTTCCTAACAAGAGGACGTTGGGTAATCGAAATATTCACTGCGAACGGATTTCCTCTAACCTGCATATTCCACAACTTGTCGATCACATGTCTTGCCTGTACAGCGCTTAAAACGACCGCAACTTGAGTTTGCCGCTGGACGTCATCTCTTGTTAGGCAAGCGAGTCCTTGTATCATTTTAAGCTGCTCATTTCTGTGAAAAAACAGTTACGTTGAATCAAAGTAATAATAAATGACTATGAAGAACCTCTGCGTTATGAGAAGCTCCCCATTCGCATCAGACATGACTCTTTCCGATATCAGTTGCCGCACTATCGCTCTGATTGTATTGTCCTTCACGATTGAGTCCACATTATCGATAACCTGAATACAAAATATAGGAGCGACCCACAGTGTACGAGGGATTGTCGATTTTGTTGGCTAGGAGTGGGACCTAGAAGCAGTATGAATATACATACTGAAGCTGCAAAGGGATATTCCACCTGGTTGGCTTTGTGCACCATCCCTTACGTATACAAAACGCGATGTCTTCCTGATTATTTGGTGGTCGGCATTATCCTAACCTGAAGAAGTTCCGCCCGTTGTGGGTCGGGTTGCGCCCAAGGGTGCCAGAGGAAATGTTGTGGTTGTTTTAAAACAGCCGAGAGACACAGAAAAACGAGTGAAAAGCGAGCTTACAGAAGAAATGAACGAGCCAATTACAATACGTGAAATGTACAACAAATGAACAGTGTTATTAGAAAAATTCGTAAATTGACTCGTAGACCTAAGAGAAGCTGTTGAGTGAGAGGAATGTTAAGCCTGCGTTTATACTTTGCGGCAGCGTAGCGCTTCCAGCGTACGCCAGCGGCAGTGCCGGGGAGAGGATGCATATCGATCTAGCGTTCCCAGCGTCACCAGCGTTTCGCCAGCGTTTTGCTGGCGTTTGCAGCGGCAGGGGAGTAGAGACTATGTGGCCGTAAGAGACGCGCAATCGATGTGTATTGTAGAGACTATGTGGCCGTCAGAGACGCGCAATCGATGTGTATTGTAGAGACTATGTGGCCGTCAGAGACGCGCAATCGATGTGTATTGTAGAGACTATGTGGCCGTCAGAG